TAAATAAAGTACAGAGTTGTCCTTTTAAGGTTATTGCCCCAGTGACATGTTGTTTTACCTTTTAAAGGTACATTTTTCACATTTTCTGACAGTGTACATTATTATATGGTTAGTTGCACTTTGTTATTTGTGTTTAGCGTTGTTTTTTCTGCTTCTGTCCACAATCTTGTCAAAGCATACCTGTGATCCTGATTCACGACCCACTGGCTGAGAACCACTGATCATTAATTATTCAGTCCCGCTGAACCTGGAGAATTGTGTCTTTGTTAAACTCAGGGAACAGGTGACGTGCACCTCCATGCCTCCGTTACGCAGTATGTGTGTATGTGTGTATGTGCTGTTGTATGCGGGACTATGGTGACACCCTGGAGATATAGTTCACTGATCATGTCTACTGAACACACATCAAGCGTTCTTTACAACAGCTGTCTGTCATGTCAGCCAACAATCAATAAATGCATTTAATAGATGTACAATCTTGTGTCTAAAAGTGTTTTTCTTTATGAACCGCAGCATTAGTTCGTCACCTTTGTGAGCTGAGACCCTTCTAACCGGTTGAGGTTTGATAAAACAGTGTGATAAATCCTGTGTCTTCCAGGTAATGGTATAGTCCCCTACATTAGTAGACTTTGCAGCCGGTTTGTATTAAGTTGCTGTCGCTCCCGTTGTGTAAAGTCGCCAACTTTCATTAGGTTCTCGGGGAACACAAAAGCATTGAATTCTAGTTTTTAATTAAATACGTTACACAACTCTTCCACAAAATTTGCATTCGTTCTCAAAATGTTTCCACATTTCTGCTACCCTGTCAGATTTTGCCATTCTCCCATTAAAACAATAGGTAGTACAATTCGACAACCTGTCAAATAGCCTAATGTTTTATTAACGTCTACACCAAACCTAACCCTAAACCTACCCCTTACAGTAATGCAAATACAGTAATTATGTGTTATTCAGGGTTGTGGCTAGAAGGCATACAGCTATGGCCGGAAACCAACAATAAATTAATTTTTCTACCTATTAGATTGTTTTATTAACGTCTACACCTACCCCTTACAGTAATGCAAATACAGTAATTATTGTTGTTGACGCAATATTGATGTGGGCGCATGCGCAGTAAACCCTGGTAGGACAATCTGAATGGTAAAATAAAATGTCAGGACACTGGCTAATATAAAGTTATTTGCAGTTTTTCCTTAAGTATTTTATAAGCTATGATTACGGTGACTTTCTTACCGTAATTTTTCGGCCAAACCGAATATTCAAATCCCGTATACCATTAAAAGGGGACTTTTCGGTGTTTTAGCAGAATAAAAAAGTTTTTTGCTATATAAAATATTATTTTACGATGATCAGTGAACAATCACTAAGCAAAGAAGAATTAAATATCTAGCCTAGGGGTGTGCGATGTTAACAAAAAATGATATCTCTATATTATATATATGATATCTCTAGTGTGTTGCGCTGCAGGACTGCGTGGACAGCTGACTCTGTGTGGTGGTCAGTTCACAGCAGTGACAGAAATGTATCTTTTCCAGCAAGTTTAAAATTATTTTTACCCTTTATGGGCATTTTTACCTTTGTAAAGCCATTTTTTTTCTCAATAAAGTCATCAATATAGTCAATTACAGTAATAAGTCATTTGGGGCTGTTACCAACAAATAAAATCATTATCAACAAAACTCATGCAGTGCAGAGGAAACACAGAAGCTGCGTCTGAAGTGGCATTTAGGTGCGTTTACACACTGTTTAATGCAAGGCATGGATGCTTTAACCTGCAGTTACACATGCATAAATAATGTTTTGATATTTTAATCTTAAAACGTTGAATACTGATATTTGAAATTATTTAAGAAATATATAAAAAGGTACTTTAAAATGTGAAATTAAAACCGCCAGTAGGTGGCAGCAAGTCACCATTAATAAGTGAGTCATTGCAATTGAACCGAATCATTTAAACTTTGGTTGATTCATTCAGGAACGAAACACTGTCATGTTGCTCAGAGACGCAAAACAGCACTGTGGCTTTGTTTGGAATCATTTTTGTTGGCGAAATAGACCAAAAAATAGGCAATATGGTGTCTAAAACGTAAGTCTCTTAATATTAACTTCTTGTTCATTGAACCGTTGTATAAAATCAATATCACATTTGTGATTTTTGCGGAAAAAAAATAGCACTTCGTGTGATATTGATCAACTAAATGAAATGATATAAATATATACATTTTCTGCCCCCATGTCTTGAATTTTGGGAGCATTCTAAATGCATTTTATTATACTGAATCATACAGTGAAAGAACACACTCTAAATGTTTAATAAGCACTCCTAATTCCTCTTATATTCAATTAAACTGTGCATACACGGTATGATAAATTAATCTCTAGCTTACATCGTACGTACATCTGCACTTTGTTGCTTATGATGAAGGAATTCGCAAGTTTCAGTCTGAACAAAACTCTGGGGTTTCAGCGATGACTAATCTGATTGGCTACTGCATTCCTAAGCTCAACAGAATCGTGTGGGATTGGTTATAATGAGCAACGCTGTAAAAACGCGTAAAAATGATGTAACATAAGCAGGTCAAAATTTAATACAGCAATCAAAACTTCATTTTAAGTATTAAAGTTTTACTGAAAAACCAGGGGACCCCCAAGTATATTTTTTGGATGTTATGGGGGGGGTCCCTTAATGCTTATGGAAGGTCCGGGGCCCCCCCTCAATTCGAACACTGGTCAAGACTCAGTCAGTCATCAAGTCCTGAATCGCTGCAGAGATGTACAAGCTGGAAAAGGAGAATTTGCGGCGCTTTAGTGATTATATAACGAAGTTTTTACGACCGTCACTCATCAAGAACTTCATGAAGGTGAGAGTTAATGAATAAACACCGACACAACTTGTCAATCAGTTCCGTAAAGTCTGTAGCAAACCTGCTTGTTATCTTTGTCAAAACATCCTTCAGTTTGTTGTCCGATTAGAGTCTTATTGAATATTGCGTGATCTGTATCAGAAGTATATTTGTGTTGTGTTGGATAATGTCTGTGACTGGACAGATGAATGAATGAAACATCCTGGAAACACTTTTAGTTCCTACAGGATTGTTTCATCTTATTGGAGATCATGAAAGTCTTGTTGAGAATTATGTGATATGAAGAGAGCATACTGTATGCTAATAAATATGTAAAGGAGGCTTTTAGGTGGTTTCGGTCTTTTAGATGTCATTGGCCCATAAATATGATCATCCTCATGCTGTATATTTGTTATGTTTGTTTGTATAAAAATTTGATTTATACAGTGAAAAAATATTTTGAATGTGTAAAATATTATTTGGAATATATTTAGTTTCTGTTCATTTATAAGTCGCTTTAGATAAAAGTTTCTGATATGAATAAATGTAAATAAATGTTTGTTACATAGTTTTTTTTTTCTACTCCTTTGTTACTGTAATGTTAGCTTGAGCGATTGCCAGATTGATTTTTTTTATTATTTTGTATAAATTTAATTTGACTATTTATTCATTCTGCTCCAGTACTGTACTGTTAGATTTATTTAAATATTTAATATACATTTTTTATTTGATTATTCATTTTGCACTCTATAGTACTGTACTGTTTTTATTTATTTATCGTTTTTTAAATTTAGTTTCATTCATTTATTTTGACATTTTCACATAGTTTTTCAAGTCCATTTGAATAAAAATCTGTGAAATGTAGTATTAAAGTTAATACAACTATTTTTGAAATATGATATGACTATCTAAAAATGTTACAAATCTATTGTTTGGTTTGGTAATGTTGAAATAGAAAAGAGTTTGACAAGGGTGTTAATGTACTGTAAGGCCCCAGAACTCTATAAAATAAACATTGAATTGTGCCATAATACTTCTTGTTTTTTGCAACCTGTTTCCAGGTATGAGCTCTATTCCATTCCACTCCACTCCACTCTACTCTACTCTTACTCTACTCTACTCTTACTCTACTCTACTCTACTCTTATTCTACTCTACTCTTACTCTACTCTACTCTTACTCTACTCTTACGCCACTCTACTCTTACTCTACTCTACTCTTACGCCACTCTACTCTTACTCTACTTTACTCTACTCTACTCTACTCTTACACCACTCTACTCTTACTCTACTCTACTCTACTCTTACTCTACTCTACTCTTACGCCACTCCACTCTACTCTTACTCTACTCTACTCTTACTCCACTCTACTCTTACTCTACTCTGCTCTTACTCTACTCCACTCTTACTCTACTCTACTCTTACTCCACTCTACTCTACTATACTCTTACTCCACTCTACTCCACTCCACTCTTACTCAACTCTTACTCTACTCTACTCTTACTCTACTCTTACTCCACTCCACTCTACTCTTGCTCTACTCTACTCTTACTCTACTCTTACTCCACTCTACTCTTGCTCTACTCTACTATTGCTCTACTCTTACTCAACTCTACTCTTACTCCACTCTTACTCTACTCTTACTCTACTCTACTCTTACTCCGCTCTTACTCTACTCTTACTCTACTCTTACTCCACTCTTACTCTACTCTACTCTTACTCCACTCTTACTCTACTCTTACTCTACTATACTCTTACTCCACTCTTACTCTACTCTACTCTTACTCCACTCCACTCTACTCTGCTCTGCTCTGCTCTACTCTACTCTACTCTACTCTTACTCCACTCTTACTCTACTCTACTCTACTCTTACTCTACTCTACTCTTACTCCACTCCACTCTACTCTGCTCTACTCTACTCTACTCTTACTCCACTCTTACTCTACTCTACTCTTACTCCACTCCACTCTTACTCACTCTTACTCTACTCTTACTCTACTCTACTCTTACTCCACTCCACTCTTACTCTACACTTACTCTACTCTACTCTTACTCTACACTTACTCTACTCTACTCTTACTCTACTCTACTCTACTCTACTCTTCTCTACTCTATTGTCTCTGTGCACAGAGATGGTGGAGAGTATTCTCTCTACAGAGATGAGGTCTGTGACCACAGCTGCCCAGATGCTGCTGGACCGAATGTGTTATTTAGAGGAAGTGGGCTGGTTTCAGGCCTTTCTGGACATCCTGCTCTCCTCAGGTGAGCTCAGTAACTTCTGCTTCTCATTTTGAGCCACCATGCAGGGCTCATGAACATAGATGCAAACTCCTTACCTTTCAGTGACAGCTCACTTTTTTTTAGATCGAAACAGGTCACCTATGAGATCTGCTTAGATCCGATGAGAAAGTTTTTTACAAGAGTACTTGTGATCTTACAAGGGTAAATAAAGAACTGTTGTTTCAATACGTTTTGTATAGCATTTATTTTCTTTACTCTTTACTTCAAAAACTATGTCTAAAATGGGTAATATTTTATGTATTTGAGGTCTGAGATGTGGGAACGACGAAGAGAGAGAGAGGGCAAACATTTTGCATTTTAGGTCAGCATTGCTGTCTAATCAGCAAATATTGTATTAAATAGCCTGCATAGCACTTCATCTTTTATAACATGGGATTTTGAATAAATATATTCAATCTTGATTTTTGTAAAAATGTTGCAACAAGATGTTAATATTTTTGTGAAAAATAACAGTTTGGACATATAACGTAATAATTTATAAAATACCGTAAAGTAACTACTTTTAAGGCATAGTACCTAAAAGCGACCAATATTTATGTAAGATTCTTCTTGTGGCATGTAAAAAGACTATAACTAAGACATCACTTTGAATTGTAAACAGTGGTTTGAGATTATTAAAGAAATCTTGGTGATGGAATTCCGTATGGATCATGCCCCCGATCCGCTCAATGTTCACACCTTTTTCCCCCCTTACCTGTTTGCATCTCTGCATGAATGTCTCGAGATCATAGGAGTGTGTGTGCTGATGTGCTGTAGAGTACACTGGAGCCCAGAGAGTGTGAGGAGGTCCAGGCGGTGAGTCTCCTCTCTAACATACTCTACAGAAGCGCACAGACTCCTGATGTATGCATGTGTATATGTATGTTTGTGTCCTCACGAGTCCGTGCTGTGTGTGTGTTACAGGAGGAGAGTCAGCGCGGTCGTATAGCTGCCAGTGAGAAGCTCGTGACGAGTCTCCTGCGCTCAGACAAACCCAACTGGTTTAAACTGCTGAAGCACGCGCTGGAAAACTGTGACTTAGACAAGGCTCTAGACATGCTGGAGACAAGTAATGGAAATAAATC